GAAATGTAATAAAATTAAGGAATTTTCTACTTGTCAATTTTTTTGAAATTTTACAAAATCCCTGTACATAGTACAGGGACTTTTGTCCAATTTTTAAGCAACTTTAAAACATCATAAAAAATCCAAGCTTGATCGGAATCAGCTCAATCTCTCTACACTGCATAAGTACATGTATAAGCATCAGGAAATGTAATAAAATTGAGGAATTTACTATGTGTCAGTTTTTGTGAAATTTTACAAAAATCCCTGTACTATAAGTACAGGGACTTTTGTCTAATTTTCGAGCAACTTTTAAAAATCATAGAAAATCCATTTGTGATCAGAATTAGCTCAATCTTTCTACACTGCATAAGTACATGTATATGCATTAGGAAATGTAATAAAATTGAGGAATTTTCTATTTGTCATTTTTTGTAAAATTTTACAAAAATCCCTGTACTATAGTACAGGGACTTTTGTCCAATTTTTGAAGCAACTTTAAAAAATGATAAAAAAATCCAAACTTGATCGGAATCTGCTCAATCCTTCTACACTGCATAAGTACATGTATATGCATTAGGAAATGTAATAAAATTGAGGAATTTTCTACTTGTCATTTTTTGTGAAATTTTTGAAAAATCCCTGTACTATAGTACAGGGACTTTTGTCCAATTTTTGAAGCAACTTTAAAAAATGATAAAAAAATCCAAACTTGATCGGAATCTGCTCAATCCTTCTACACTGCATAAGTACATGTATATGCATCAGGAAATGTAATAAAATTGAGGAATTTTCTACTTGTCAATTTTTGTAAAATTTTACAAAAATCCCTGTACTATAGTACAGGGACTTTTGTCCGATTTTGGAGCAAATTCAAAAAATCATAGAAAATCCAAACTTGATCGGAATCAGCTCAATCTCTCTACACTGCATAAGTACATGTATATGCATCAGGAAATGCAATAAAATTGAGGAATTTACTATGTGTCAGTTTTTGTGAAATTTTACAAAAATCCCTGTACTATAGTACAGGGACTTTTGTCCGATTTTGGAGCAAATTTAAAAAATCATAGAAAATCGAAACTTGATCAGAATTAGCTCAATCTTTCTACACTGCATAAGTACATGTATATGCATTAGGAAATGTAATAAAATTGAGGAATTTTCTACTTGTCATTTTTTGTGAAATTTTTGAAAAATCCCTGTACTATAGTACAGGGACTTTTGTCCAATTTTTGAAGCAACTTTAAAAAATGATAAAAAATCAAAACTTGATCGGAATCTGCTCAATCCTTCTACACTGCATAAGTACATGTATATGCATCAGGAAATGTAATAAAATTGAGGAATTTTCTACTTGTCAATTTTTGTAAAATTTTACAAAAATCCCTGTACTATTATAGTACAGGGACTTTTGTCCAATTTTGGAGCAAATTAAAAAAATCATAGAAAATCCAAACTGATCGGAATCAGCTC